TTGATACAGGTAAGCAATTTGGCACGGCTTACAGATTTCGTGCCACAACTGGTACTATCACTTTACAGGTACGACTGCAAGAAGACCCACTCCAGCGACACTAGTAGGCAATCCGGATGAAGACACCGAAGTCAAATTCGCACATACGGGACATCGACGGAAGCCCGGAAAGCTACGTTGATATATCCTGTCCCGCAACCCTGCTATCACGCGGTCAGATGACGGCCCTATTTCCATCTAGGGATGCACACGGCCATGGCAGCCGTAAGACCATGTCTAGTGAGACAGGGTAGCTTCGGTTCCAACTAGGGACACAGAACCTGTGCCTCCCTCCGACACAATCAGACTACAAAACCTGATCTGTTAGAGTTTGCGAAGATGGGCCTAGATACCGATCCGACAGTTCAGACCAATAAAATAACCGTTGCGGTGATCGCAAGAACCCCGGGTTGCATGAGGATAACTCCAGGTTGGGGAAGGCGAGTCCGCGAATTCCCTGGCGCGTTCACAGATAGTGCAACAGTCATTTCAGTGAGAGCTAAGGGCAAAATGAGCAGGTTATTTTCGAGACTGACGAAGAATCAGCGATGGCTCTGCCATGGTTTTGAAAGCTGGGCTAAATCACACCGACCGACTCGAAAAATATCGCAGAAACCCGGATGACTGCACTGTGACCGCAACTAGTGACATCCAATCCTGATTACTTCTAAAAACTCGCTTAAACCTCGACGCGAGTCTACTAACTGGCTTTCGCATGGGGGGTGTCAGCTTTTCACACTTTCTGATACCCGTATCGGTCGGCAATTTCCAGTGGCATCGTCAAGGCTGACATGAAACGTCCCAGAGGCCATTCAACGCGATGATATCCCGTTCCTTCAGACAAACCTTCGCTGGACTGTCAAGAAAAACCCAGATCTGACTGTGTACGTCTGGGGAGGTGACCACCGGAAATTTGGATTATCGGAAAGGTACTGTCGTTGAAAACATTGGAATGGCTACTTTTGGCTTGTATGTGGTCATCGATCAACCTCCAATGCTAGAATATCTGAGAAATTGGCCGTCCCAAGCGACGATCCCATCGTGTAGACCACGAACTGGGGAGCGACATCAGCGCCTTGCACGCGAATTCTCTCTCTTCCCTCACTCACTTGCCCCGATGGCAAGGCAATTTAAAATCGACAGGAACTGGGCGCGGGGTGGTGGACAAAGATAAACAACTCGTCTATGCGTAAAACATATGACCGAGACAGCGCAACAAATGTACCAGGCCACTGAAGACGTGATTCGGATGTTACGTGCCTGAGGATGAGAGGAAGCCCGCCTCAAAAAGGGACCTTTGCAGCTTGACCCTCAAGCCAGAGTATGGTGGATTGACGCCCAACAGGTGGCAACCTCCCAAGTTACGACGCTTGGTGCGTCCTGATGGATTCAAGCGCAGTACTTTTTGCCCTCATGAAGAGCGTACTGATGTTCTGCGTCGGTCTTACTCGCACTTCCCT